CGAGGTATGCAGGCAAGCACTAAAGGTAAAGGTAACACATCCATTCCAACATTGGAGCCGTGACAACCAATTAGGTTGTAACCTACCACCAATTCCTGTAACAACTGACGAGGCGATGAACAGAGCTCACACAAAGTCCCCGTCAGTTACCTTTTTCTGACATTTTGTCACTCGTCTCGCAAGGACACGCAGTGAAACAACGGAGTCTTACACGACACGGCACCAGAGTCAGAGAATCCGCAAGAACACGAAAACGGCATCGACGTAATCCGCACAGGCAGGGATAGAGCACCTGAGGTTCCGAATCGTGGCGGACGACGCGTCCCCGGCATTGCGCCTGATCTCGCACCACGCGACCTCCTCCCCACCGCCGCCGCAGGCCGGCGGCGCGACGAGGGAGCAGACCACGGAGTCGTCCTCGGCCACCTCCACCACCGGGCACGCAGAATCGGCGGGCACTGCCAAGTAATCAGGAATGGGACAACCAAACCAAAAAAAAAAAAAAGAATCAAGAAGCCGTGCAGATGAAGGAACCCGTGGAGAAGGAGGGGAGGGGGCGGCTGCCCTGCCATACCTAGCCTGACCCACACGGAGGGGGACGGCGGGGAGGCGGCCGAGGGCTGCGGGGTTTGGTGGAGGTGGAGCACTGCCGGCGTCCATGGCGCAGGGAGGCGACAGGCGAGGCGAGGAGCGGCGACGGCAGCGTAGGGGGAAGAATGGGCTCCTTTGGGAGGACTTGGGAGTTTGGGGTTTTGCGGTTTTGTTGCAGCACCGTGGGCCCCGCTTGGGACGTCGTGGTCGCAACCCATTTTCAGGGGCCCGTGAGTGAGTGAATGGGCCGACCGTTGTAACGGTCTGGGCCAGTAAAGTGTCTTTGGAAGTTTAATGGGTTGCTAAACTTTTGAAGCCTGTACGAGTACTATTTAGCACTAAGCCCAGTCCATGATGAAAGACGGACGGATGAACACGGGCCGGCCGAAATTTAAGTCGGATTTGCTTTGCTTGTCCGATTTCCCTTCTTAAAAAAAATATGCAAATAATTAATGTGGTGGGTGCATGATTATAAGTGGGTGTTGCGTTTTATAACGTGGCAAGTGGAAAAGCAGGTCCACCATCGTTGGAAAGACGTGAGGATTGAGATCACACGCCAAATTGGTACTTTTAGCTTATTTTATGGTATCTAGGATTCGCACGAAACTTTGCCTCCTACTTGTTGCACTTGTTGAAAATTGAAAACAAAAGTTCCCAACGATGGACAATGGAAACACGGAACTGTGGTAAGCTGACTTTGGGCACTTTATATTGGGCACGTTTGTTCCCTAACCAAGTCCAGCTAGGAACTGAAAAATGTAATGAGTTTTTTCTCCCTTGATTTCTATGCAAGTCGGCTTTTTCTTGACCATGGCTCTCCTTAATGGGCAAGATTAGGCTTGCCTGGCTGAGCAAGGTCAGGCAAGACTAGCTCCACATCCAAATATGCTCAAAGTGTAACAATGTGACATGCAGGCTTTGGTGATACAGAAACACTGTGATACTACAAATTTTTTTTGAAGGATTGTTGTATTACTGTTGTTTCGCAAAAGATATGTCTCGTTCGATCCCGCTTCGACAATGCAAGCATGGTCGTCATCCTTAGTCACCTTTGAAACATCTCAATTTCTGGTGGAGTGAAAAGGAAAAAAGTCGTGAGGACAATAATCAATGGTGTGCAACTCATTTATGATTTTTATAAACAACTCTTAGCTAGCTGGTTAGTGGTGGCTATTTGAATTCACCTTCTGATCTGTGGCTGATGGATAGTTAGCGTATCAACATCTATGAGGAATTTGCCACCGGCTAATGAATTAGTAGCAGCACTTAGGCTAACACTCAACCATCCTGAAAATATTAGATGTTCTTTAAAAATTATCGCAAAAATATGCAATAACCACCGACGACACTTCTCTAAGGTAGGAACAGATAAGGTCCTCCCGGCCCCGTGCGATCGTTTTTTTTATGGATGAGGACACAAAGGCCCACTGCCAGAATATCTCGGGAGCCTTTATATTAAATTAGATTAGCCATCAATGGTTCACATATTAGGTGAGTATAAAATATTACATGTATAGTATTTTTAGTTCCATCGTCTTTTTATAGTATAATAGAATATAAACAAATAGCACATATCAGATATAACTTAATGTTTATTCGTTGATTAACAAGAAAAAAAAGGTTGTGGCGATACCGAATGGTGTGCAACTCATTTTCATGATGATTATAAGAAAACCATGACTTTTAAAATAGTCTCAACGAGAGGCTTTTTAAGTTTTATGAACACTAAATAAACTAACTTTCATAATATAGACGAAGAGAAAGATGATGGAAGGTCATATGACCTCGAGTTCTGCAAAAATATCTCATCCGGTCCTTTTCACTTTCGAGCAAAATCTGTAGGCAGCGTAATCAAATCATCCATTGTTCTCCTTGCCCATTTTTCATAGAATATTAGATATATTCTACGAATGTTTGGCTAATACTCACTCCACTTTGACATGTTAGATATTCTAAGAATTTTATAACATATTTATGTGGTAAAAGCAAATAGCGTATATAACATGATGTTTATTCGTGGATTAAAATGGAGGGCATTGACTATTCTGCAACTCGTTTTCATGATGATTACATTGGCTCCGTTTGGCTGGCTGAATTTTGGATGAAATTGGGTGAAAAACACTGTTCCGGCTGAATTGTTGTGAGAGAAAAACACTATTCCGACTGAAAAAATAAGCTGAACAAATCAGATATGGGATAAACCGAACGGGCATGTGTTAACTGAGGTCATCGAAGATGTGACAACACTGGTTTTGATTGATTTTAAAATGAAAAGGTGCCACAACAACTGCTCGTTGCGTTGGTACTGCTACGTGTGACCGGTGACTCCGGATTCTGCAAAAATATCTCATCCGGTCCTTCGCTTTGGAGCAAAATCCGTTGGACATCGTCATCAAATCTCTTGTCCTCCTTGAACAAAAAAAAATGTTTAAGTACTGGTCAAATGATAGCAGCCAGCACCAACTCCTGATGGAGGACTAGTAGCAGCCACCAGCCGATGGCCTTTATGTGCCACGTCGGATCCTGGTCAGCCCCGTCGGCCGGAGCCTGCACCAACTCCCTTTCTGCGCCGACTACTCGGAAGCAGCCTGCCGGCGATTCAGATTGACCCACACTACTCCCATGCCCAGGAAATTTCCTCCCAAAAAGATTCCAAAAAGATTCCAGTGGTAGTATCTTATATTATATCCTGTCTTATCCGCTGTCATTATCAGGCTGCGTTTAGATCCAATTTATTTTGGGTTTTGGTTTGGCAATTAGTGTCTAGTTATAGACTAATTAGGTTCGAAAGTTTCGTCTCTCGATTTCTCACCAACTGTGCAATTAGTTTTTTTTCGTCTACATTTAATACTCCATGCACGTGCCGTAAGATTCGATGTGATGGATACTGCGTAAATTTTTTTTGGAATCTAAACATGCCCTCACTTTTGGTTGCCAATGAATTAGCAGATTTATTTTAGGATATAAATCTACACAGGCAATCAATACTTACTCAAACTGTAATAATATAATAGAAAAAATTACTGGTGAGCAGGTGTGCAGTAGTACTTTGCATGGTTTTCTATGGAGGTGCATTCTTTCTTTGGTAATTTGGATATAATATGCTGCATGTGACAGCACGTTTTACGTTTCTTTTTTGTGTTCGCCTCGGAGATGACGCATAAAGAAAATATCCACTCGATCTACGTCACATGGCTGATATTCTGCATACTACTTACCTGTTGTTAGTCCAATCTGTGGATGTTTCTGTCATTGAAGAAACATGCTCCGCTCAACAATAAAGTCTGCGAATATTCTTGCTCATGGAAAAAGAGATTTTGTGTCAAGTCATATAGTATTTATTTATTAGCGTGTATCCATGAGACAGCGTAACCGTGTTTTTCTCTCACAACATTTTAGCATAAGCCAAATTTCAGCATAAGTGAACACGCCGATTGCAGGTTGAATCATAGTGTTCTGGTATCTAAGGTAAAAACGATTCCTACGGATAACTTTTATAATTATTAAGGATTAAGGAGAAGAAAAAAAAAGATACAGTAACATTTAGGGCCTGTTTGGCATGGCTTCTGCCGGCTCGGGCTTTCCAGACACCAACACTGTAGCATACTGTTCATAAAAGTGGCTTCCTCTCTCCTCCTCCCCCCTCTCACTCACACTCGCACTGTTCATCAAAGCCGGAGAAGCTCGTTTTTCTGGCTTCTCCGGCTTTATCTCCCGCATGCTATAGTACCCGCGCTACAGTGAGACAGAAATGGTGAAGAGAGAACCGACTCATCGCTACAGTGATTAACGCAGATTTTGTCATGAGCCGGAGCGGCCCTTAGGAAGTCATGGACGTGCGTAGTACATACAGATACAGTCATCTAATCCCGTCGTGGCGGTAATCCATAGGCTGTGTATTGGGTTCCCAAAAAAAAGCTTTTACAGTAGAAATCTGATCTGATCCCTGTTCGTTCAAAAAGGTAAGCTAATCCCTTCACGAATATCTATTTTTATATTTTATATAAGTGATTTTGCTTCATTTCCATAGTTTCGGATGGGTCTTTTTAAGGCCCGGCCCGAAGCCCATCCCATCCGTTGAACACGGGGTCACAATTTCTTCCCCCAAAATTTTCGGAGGCTTGCCTTGTCCACCACCGCACCACCACCCTGCGCGCCGAGCTCACCCCGATCCAGATCCACCCCCCTCCTCCCTCCGGTCTCCGGCGACCGCCCTCCTCCTCACCCGCCTCCCCACTCCCGTGCCCACGCAGTGACCATCCATTCCACCCGCCTCTCCTCGTCTTGTCGGTAAGGACGCCGGACGGACCTGCTGTTATTTTTTTTTCTTCCTTCTGTTTTGTTCGTTTGCCATTACCGCGAATCCTTGAATGAAATCCAAAATCTCGCCAGGCCAGCCGGCGGGCAGCATGAAGCGGGTGTCGTCGCACGTCTCGCTGGCCTCGGAGGCGGAGATCAACCTCGATCTGTCGCGCCTCATCATCGACAGGCCGCAGCGGTTCACGCTGGAGCGGAAGCGCTCCTTCGACGAGCAGTCGTGGAGCGAGCTCTCCCACTCCCACTCCCACCGCAACAACGACGGCTTCGACAGCGTGCTGCAGTCGCCCGCATTCCCGTCCGGCGGATTCGACTCGCCCTTCTCCATAGGCACGCATTTCGGCGGAGGCGGACCGCACCCGCTGGTCAACGAGGCGTGGGAGGCGCTCAGGAAATCGGTTGTTTACTTCCGGGAACAGCCCGTCGGTACCATCGCTGCCGTGGATCATGCGTCGGAGGAAGTGCTCAACTATGATCAGGTAATGTTGAATGCCAATCGGGCTTCACGGAACATCATGTTTGTGGAAACAGAGGAACCTTGTTGTTTTGTTTTGTTTTGAGCATTATGATTACTGGAGTGTTATTTACATGTTACATGTACAAACCCATAATTTGTCTACTTAGCGCTTATTGATTTCCATTGCTCTGTTTCTATACTTGTTTCCACCATATAATTTTCCTTTTCAGGCTATAATTTGATACATATATCATGATTAATAAGTACTCAATCTGTTATTTACGTTTGACATTGTTTCTCGTACTAATATCTTATTTGTTTTATCATTGATATGACTTCCAGTGTCTTTACTATCACTTGCAACAAGATTTCAACTTCTGTTCTGTATTTTCTGAGATTGATCGATCAATAATGCCTTCTTGTAATATGTTATCATGGAGCATTAGCAGTATGGTCTGTAACTGAAGTTTCCTTGTATTTTTGTTTCTGACTACGTGCTACTGTTGCCTGCCCCCTTATTGCAGGTTTTTGTGAGGGATTTCGTTCCGAGTGCATTGGCTTTTCTAATGAACAATGAGACCGACATAGTGAAGAACTTTCTCTTGAAAACTCTTCACCTTCAGAGCTCTGAGAAAATGGTAGACCGATTCAAGCTTGGAGCAGGAGCGATGCCTGCAAGTTTCAAGGTGGACCGTAACAAAAACAGAAACACTGAGACCTTAGTTGCTGATTTCGGTGAGAGTGCAATCGGCAGGGTGGCACCGGTCGACTCTGGATTTTGGTGGATCATTCTCCTTCGGGCATATACAAAGTACACCGGAGATGTTAGTTTGTCGGAATCACCTGATTGCCAGAAGTGCATGAGGTTGATACTGAATCTCTGCTTATCTGAAGGATTTGATACTTTTCCAACTCTGCTTTGCACAGATGGCTGCTCAATGATTGATCGTCGAATGGTAGGATCATTTCACTTTGATCTAATTCATATTTAGATGCATATCTGTAGAATTATTACATATCAGCTGAGGTGGCAATGGGATTGGCAGGTCCTGCATGTTCTTCTGTAATCAAGGAGCATCCCTGTCTCCTTAACAATACTTAGGGATAGCCTCAGATTGTTAAAGTGTCCTGTTCAGGTGATAGTGCAGACACCTTAATTTTCAAATAAAATTTCTAATTTTCAAGTTTTTATGGTAGTTTTACAGTTGCACATATTCTCATACTACTCGCAACCAAATTTTAAAGGCAATCTTTTATAGCCTTATTGGTACAGGGGGGGGGGGGCAAGAGATGCATAGTTTTTGCAGAAGTACAAACAGATAGTACTGGCAGAAATTGGCAATCTGTAGTACATTGTCCCCACATGTTCTCTTGTTGTCTGTTCTACTTTGGAATTAAATGTTAATTTTAAATGAAACTTTCCATCAGTGCATGATTGTAATTACTGCAATTTTCAGGGTATATATGGTTATCCCATTGAGATCCAAGCCCTATTCTATATGGCATTAAGATGTGCTCTCCAAATGCTCAAGCCAGAGGGCTTAAGGGAAGGATTTCATAGAGAAGATAGGGCAACGGCTACATGCACTGACCTACCACATGAGGAATTACTTCTGGCTAGATTTTCACCAGCTGAATAACATATACAGATACAAAACAGAAGAGTATTCCCACACAGCTGTGAACAAGTTTAATGTCATTCCGGATTCCATTCCTGATTGGGTGTTTGATTTCATGCCATGCCGAGGAGGCTACTTTCTTGGCAACGTCAGCCCAGCTATGATGGATTTCCGGTGGTTTGCCCTTGGCAATTGCATTGCCATTGTATCATCTCTGGCAACCCCTGAACAGTCAGTTGCTATAATGGATCTGATCGAGGAAAAGTGGGATGAGCTAGTTGGTGAGATGCCTCTGAAGATATGCTATCCTGCCCTCGAGAATCATGAGTGGAGAATTATCACTGGATGTGACCCCAAGAACACCCGGTGGAGTTACCACAATGGAGGATCATGGCCAGGTATCGTCTCTCTTTGCAAAATGCTTTTTGTTTGTTCTCGAAAAAGGACCTGTAGTTTCCATGTGTTGCACTAGTGATTTGATGAATGCCTGGACATATTTTACTTATTGCTCCTGAACGAAGATTGAAAGTTAATTCATAATAAATTGTTGGAAACAGAAAAGGTTTAAACTAAAATCCATTCTGAAATTGACAAATGGAATTCCCCATGCTCTCCACCTAAAAAATTGTTTGGTCTAATAATCCTTGATAACCATGTCATCTTCTGTAGGATCACTGTACTTGTCATTCTACTTCTATAATTGGTGCTTGTATGTTAACAAGGTAGTCTGAATATTTTTTATTTACTCTTCCTATGCTTCTGCATGAGCAGGGACGGCGCTTCACTGCTTATTGACTCCTTCAGGAGTTTTTGGCTCAGTTACAAATGTTTATTTAATCATTGTTCAGTACCTAGTTGCAGCTATAGCCAAACTCAGAACTAAGCACAGCATTAATATTTTTGTTCACACTATTTTTATGTGCAGTTCTTCTATGGCTGCTGACAGCAGCCTGTATCAAGACTGGTCGGCCACAGATGGCAAAACGTGCCATTGAGCTCGCTGAGTCGAGGCTGCTCAAGGACGGCTGGCCCGAGTACTATGATGGCAAGCTAGGAAGATTCGTTGGTAAGCAGGCCAGGAAGTTCCAAACCTGGTCCATTGCAGGTTACCTCGTCGCCCGCATGATGCTGGAGGACCCATCGACACTGATGATGATCTCCATGGAGGAGGACCGGCCTGTGAAGCCGACCATGAGGCGGTCAGCATCATGGAATGCCTGAATGCGTGGGTTGTTGTTTCTGAATTAAGGAAATTCAGAATCAAAGGTTATACGAATTTGTGATTTGTTCAGACCACAAAAGTTGAACGCTGATGTGATTTGTTGGGACCACAAAAGTTCAACGTTGATTATAGTTGAACTCTGTCAATTAGGACAGAAAGTGTATACCATAGAGGATCGTAGGAGTTACACAAGATTTTGCCACACCTTTTTTTGTTTTTGTTTCAGAACAATACTCAGGATCCTGTTCAGTTGAGACCTTGATTTTGGAATAACAAATCACTGTTTATGCATACATTTCTCTTCGGCATTAATGGTATCTCTATAATTCTGGAATGCCACTTAATAAAAAATATAAAAAAGAAAAGGGAGATGAGCCGTGGTACTCTCTTAGACGCTGCAGAACTTCTGGCCTGGTACTGTCTTACAGGCAGCAGTCTTACAGTTTGGAGTTGTTTGGACGTCTCTGTCTTGGATATTTCAACATGATACTATATATTTGGAGTAGTCTATATACTACATTTGTTTCTGAATAGATCAATTGCTAGAGGTGCCTTAAATCATTTTTTTTTAAATTTAACCAAATTTATAAAAAGAGCACAAATATTTATGACACCAAATTATTATTATTAGATACACATCATAAGATATATTTTTGTAATGTGCTTATTTGGTTTGATAAATATTTGTGCTCTTTTCAATAATTTTGGTCAAACATAAAAAAAAAGTTTAGCTTACGAATCTAATTAATTTATTCTAGGATAGAGAGAGTACAGTAACGAGATAAAATCTAAAGTATTTTTCTTCGTAACAGAGTTGTTATGGAAAACATCCATTTTAGTACAAAACTAGTACCAGAAGCGAGAAATTGAGAGTGATCTGATGAGGGTGTTCGTCTGTCCGGACGCACCTCCCTTGGCCTACAGACCAACCCGGCCTGCTTTCCCTCACGGTCCATCTAAAATTCTTAAGGCTCGCTCGATGATGCATACTCACTAGTTACTTACAGTCCTACTCTAGTTGTAGCCATCTGAGAACCGAGGGATCCTGGAGCCGTGCCCCCCTGAGCAGCAGCCCCATGAAGTAGCTTGTGGCGTGCAACATGATGACGCTCTTCCTCGACATCGGCCTCGCCCGTGGCGTCTTCTTCTCCGGCTGCGTTTGTCTCTCGGTCAGCATCGCCTGTAGTGTCGGCACGAACAACATCTTCTCCCACCATGCCTCCTTCCTCACATGCCCGCGCGGCGGGCCCTGAGCGCTCTCCTGTCGCTATCTTTGTCCTGGGCCCATTTCCTCCATGGCGTCATGGCTCCATCCACCAGCCTGCCACAGGGTTTGCTGAAAGCACATGTTGCAAGTGTATGTTTCAAGTGTTTCATATTGTAAGTGTATGTTTCAAGTGTTTCCGATGTTTCAGAGGTACGTGGCGAGTGTTTCATTTGGATGTTGCAAAATTATATCGGGATGTTGCATATGTTGCAATGGTTATACACGTATGTTGCAAGCGTCTGTTTCAAATATTTCATCTGTTTTTTAGACGTATGTTGCAAGTGTGTTTATCTGTATGTTGCATATGTTGCAAGTGTTTTATCTGGATGTTGCATATATTTTTGTAATGACTTTTCAAGTGTTTTCAGGTTTTTTTGCAAGTGTTTCAGGCACATGTTTTAAGTGTTTCATCTGTCTTTAGACGTATATTTCAATTGTTCCATCTGAATGTTTTAAAAGTAGATCGGGTGTTGCACATGTTGCAATGACGCCGGTGGCTGGTGGACAGCGGCCTGCCGCAGGGCTTTGACTCCTTCCTCATGCGGCGCGCGCCCTCTCCTCTCCTCTCCCTCCCCTCCATCTCGACGCAGCAGTATGATGTAGACGCTCGACGAGCGCGATGCTCACAGATGTGGTGGCCCGACGAGCGCGGAGGTGGTGGCCCTGGGTGGGCCAATGGCGGGTGCTATGCTCACGTGGTGGCCCTGTAGCAAGCTGAGGTCTGCGCCATCCGCTCGCTAGGCACGGGAAACCAAGCAGCCCGCAGGCGTCCGGACATGGGCATGCGGGCGCTAGTCTAAGGACAAGATAGTGCAACGAAAAGAACAGCAACAAGCCTAATCTCTAAGGTAAGTTGAGAATAAGACAACGTGGAATGAAAAGAACGGCAACAAGCCTAGTGCCCTAGTCCCTAATCAACCTGTCTCTAGCAAGTAGTACCACACGACCAATGCAACCCCATATTTCTAATCAGCCTGTCTCAAGCAATTAGTCGTTCGACATGCACTCAGCAGCGCGAGCTGTGAAGTTTTGCTGGCAAACAGTTGACGTAGGTGACACATCGCACTGGATGGGGTGGGCAGGGCACGACAGATATCAGTGTCTTCCTCCTCATGTACACCTCGAGTGCCCATATCTTCTCGTTCGCCTCGCTATCCATGCCCTCGGCCACGAGGAAGCAGACGTGTTATGTGCCTAACATTTGGTATCGAAGCCATAATCACACGCCTGATCTTCATAGTTTGCGGCGATGAGTGAGACACGCTCTGGCGGTTTCGGCGGTAGGGTTGGCGGTGGTGGCGGTGAGCGGTTTGCATATCCGCAGCTGACGGGAGGCAATTACACGAGCTGGAGTATCCGGGTGCAAGCAATTATGGAGGATCAAGGTGTGTGGGAGGTGGTAGAGCCATTGGGGGGGGGTCGGAGACGACGTCGGAGGGCCAGGCGGCCGTGGCGGCGAGGACGGCCAAAGACAAGAAGGTGAGGGCACATCTCCTTCAATATCTGCTCGATGATCTATTGATGCAAGTGGCAAAGAAAAAGACGGGGAAGGTGGTCTGGGACAACCTCAAGGAATGGTTCATGGGAACGGTTCGTGGGAGCGGATCGTGTGAAGGAGGCGAGATTGCAGACGTTTAAGTGCGAGTTTGACGCACTGTGCATGAAGGATGACAAGAAGGTGGACCAGTACACCAGCAAGATCTCGGCGATGTCAGCGAAGTACGAGAATTTTGGTGGAACCTTGGACGATCAGGCCATGGTGAAAAAGCTCTTCGACACTGTGCCGGATCGGTACATCACGGTGGTTGCCGGGATCAAGCAGTTTTTTTATCTGAAGAAATTGGTGTTTGAGGAGGCGGTTGGACGACTGAAGGCCTACGAGGAGAGGATCCAGCGAGGAGCGAGAGGATCTAGGGGCAACGGTGGTCAATTGTTGCTCACGCAGGTCGAGTGGGAGGTGTGACATAAGAAGTCCGGTGGGGAGTCCTCGGGGAAGGGGAGAGCGCAGGACGGCGGGAGTCATAGCCGAGGCTGAGGGTGCGGCGGGCAAGGCCGTGGCCGCGGCGGGCGTGGGGAGGCGTCTGATAAGGAAGGCGGTGGCAAGCATGACAAAAGCCACATCAAATGCTTTAAGTGTCACATGTATGGCCACTATGCCAATCGGTGTCCAGGGGAAGAAGAGAAGAAGGGAGATGAAGCTCACCATGCTCATGTCATCAACGTTGAGCCGACGCTGATGCTCGTGGTCACGGAGGTGCCAGAGCCCGCTCGAGTACGTGTCACGGGTGATCACGGGTGTGCAGCGCAATGGTATGTTCCTGGACAAAGGGAAGGTGATGCCCGAGGTACATCTTACCGGCGGCGAGAGGAAGGCAGGAGATGCCTGGTACTTGGACAATGGAGCGAGTAACCACATGTCTGGGAATGCAGACATGTTTTAGGACCTTGATGCTAGTGTTGTAGGCAGGGTCAGGTTTGGAGATGGTTCAACTGTGGAGATCAGGGGAGGGGAACTTTGGTGTTTCAGTGTAAGAATGGTGACCAGTGGTTGTTGTCAGATGTCTATTACATTCCTAGATCGAGGAGCAATATGATCAGTCTGGGACAACTCACTGAAACCGGGCACAAGATCGTCATGGATGATGACTGGCTAGAGGTGGTGGAGAAGAGCAGTCAGAGGCTTGTTATGAGAGTTGAGCGTGCAGCAAATCGATTGTATCAAGTTGCTCTGAAAAACTCTAAACCAGTGTGCTTGCTAACAAAGGTGACTGAAGATGCTTGGCTTTGGCATGGGAGGTTGGGTCATGCAAGTTTTCATACCTTGAAGCTGTTGTCAAAGAAGTCCATGGTGGGAGGTGTACCTGTAATTGCTCATCCTGAAGAAGTGTGTGAAGCTTGCATGGCAGGGAAGCAGACAAGGATGACATTTCCAAAGTAGGCACAATGGCATGCTACCAAGCCCTTTGAGCTACTCCACATTGACCTTTGTGGTCCTATCACACCTGCAACTGCAGGAGGTAACAAATATTTCATGCTTGTTGTTGATGACTGTTCCAGATGGATGACAATGTTTATGCTTAAGTCTAAAGATGAGGCAAGTAGTGCATTTGCAAAGTTTAAGGCTATAACAGAAAACAATTTGGGACAACACATCAAAGTAGTGAGGTCAGATAGAGGGGGAGAGTTCTTAGCTGGTTCTTTCAGGGAAGTGTGTGAAAAGGCAGGGATTGAAAGGCAGTTTAGAGCACCCTATACACCATAGCAAAATGGTGTAGGAGAAAGGAAGAATAGAACTATCATGAACATGGCTAGATCACTACTGAAAAGCATGAGAGTGCCAGGAAGTTTTAGGGAGAAGCTGTTAGGCACTCAGTTTATTTGTTGAATAGGCTACCAACAAAGGCTTTGGGAACTAAAACTCCATATGAGGTGTGGAATGGGAGAAAACCACACTTGGGTCATCTAAAGTTGTTTGGCAGTGTTGGTCATGTGAAAAACACAGTGCCACATTTGAAAAAGTTAGATGACAGGAGCACTCCAATGGTGTATTTTGGAGTTGAAGAAAGAAGCAAGGCTCATAGAATGTACAATCCTCATACCAACAAAATTGTAGTCAGCAGGGATGTTATATTTGAGGAGTCCAGGAGCTGGCAGTGGAATGCAGACACTGTTTCTGATGAAAATGCAGATTTCAGTGTTGAAAATGATTTTCATTTTGTCACCCATCTTGAT